GTTGAATTAACGTTCATTCATGGTTAAATGTACGACGTCGATTTGTGAACCAATCTCAACGTTGTTTTAACGTGGATTCAACGTTGAATTATGGTTAACGAGATTGGCAACCTAATTTCAACGTTGTTTCAACGTCGAAACAGTAACGTCGATCCAATTTGCATAGTCAAGCCTTTTTCAACGTCTATCCAACGTCTGGAAGGTCATTTCCAACGTTGATTCAACGTTGGATAAACGTCATTTTGCCCGCTGGGTGTTTGAACTGAACTGTCCGATTTCTAAACATACCGATCTAGATTTATCCTATCCGATTTTTCAGAAAGCCATATCATTAAGAAAATGATAAGCCATATATATCATTAAGAAAATCTGTATTCAGTTCAAAAAGTTGATGTGCCGACCCTTTTTACCTAACAAATTTTGATCAAAATATACAGTAATTCTAATCAATTATTATACATTATAATTCTAATTTTTAATCTGCATGGTCTCTAGTTAATGTATAGCTCCGTTTGAATAGCTCTGCTGTCCAATTTCTAGACATATACCGATCTAAATTTATCCTGTCGCGGATTTTTTAGAAAGACATATCATCAAGCAAATGATAAGCCATATCATAAAGAAAATCGGTTAAAAAATGTGCGTCGCCTTCTTACCGGCAGATAAGCAAAAGAAGAAAATATGTGCAGTAATTGCCCTTTTCAAACAATTGAAAGTCTTATTGGCGAACGCATTCTTGCGGTAATATACAAAGTTTTGGGAAAATTAACAGCGATTTTGCCAACTTCCAGATTTCTGGCTACCCATAACTATAAGCTAAGGTCTAAGGAGTAAGGTTGAAATGTTTGAGATAATAAAACAATGAAGATTATAATTTAATGAATATTACATGCGTCATTATATATACAAAAAGTCGCATGAAAGTCCAACGAAAGCAGATATTTGACCACAGCGCTTATATCGCATATTTGACCAAGGACGTTGGTCTTAAAACATTGTTAACCTACGGCTACGATTTTCTGTTTGACATTCCGATGGTCAGCCAACTAATCTAAGCATCCTTCCTTTATAATTAAACTACAACGTCAACGTGAGCAAACCCACGCATAAGCCTGCAGTATTGTCTCCCAGTTAAGTAATTATTAGAATAGATTTAACTCGAAAGGCAGTATAGCTATACGTATAGGTTATACCCCGCTATATAGCCTATATATGTTGAAAAGTGAGATTGTTTCTATTTTTCGTGACTTGTTTATGTACGTTATTATACAACCAAAGGCAAACCATTTTTATTGCTAACAAATTTTAATCAATTATAACTATATAGTATGTATTCTATTCTAAAGTGTGTTTGTTTATGTTTCTAAACTAAACAACACTCCTCGATTCTTTACGAGTGAGAAATGTCATCTTCACGTAATCAATCATATAAAATTATAACTGATCTTCCGAAGCAAGGAGTTATTATTAAAATATCATAAGATTAGTATATGACCTTGCCAACAATGCTAGCTATAAGATTGAGACTTTTAGCAACCCTCTTTGGCACTCATGCACTTTAGTCTTTAAGCATAATCTTAATTATATTAGGGAAATTTAATTAACACAAAACCCAAATAAGCTGTCCAAAAGTTTCTGGGAAAATTTTACTTGTCATGAAATTTTACTTAGCATCGAGTCGTCTTCCATCCAGACGTTTTCGGATTTCCTTGAAATACAATATCGAACATATAATCTGCAAAATAAAACGAGGAAATGAAAGTAAATGTCCAGGCGTTGATGGGTTATAAATTATACGAAAAACAAGTTTGTACTTGAAAACTGAGTCTTTGTACAGCGCTAGCCATTCAAGGGCAATTTGCGTCACACCTGGGGCTGGGATGTCCGCAGGAAATATCTCAAATCACAGGAGTAGAATAACTTTACCACGACTTAGTCTCACTGGGAGATATTCTAGAAATCCTATAATCATTCTCAGCTGCATGTTTGCACTCACGATTCTGGATTCGGAAATATGAAACTTAATATATAGCTCTATGAGTTCTAAACTGTTCTCGCTAGAGATCCAGTAAGGATCATCTGTTACTGATTCAGTCTTACTACAACAGGAGTAAACCTACTGAACTAACTTTATTTATACTGGATAGCTCTATCAGTTCCAAACTGTTCTTCCTAGAGGTCCAGTAAGAGTAATCTCTTATTGATCCAGTGTTACTACAGGAGGAAACCTAAACTAAACTAATTTTATTTATACTGGATAGCTCTATCAGTTCTGAACTATTCTTCCTAGAGGTCCAGTCAAGTAAGGATCATTTCTTATTGATCCAATGTTACTACAGAAGGAAACCTAAACTAAACTAAACTAAATTAACTTTATTTATACTGGGTAGATTCATCAGTTCTAAACTGCCTGGTCTCCCTAGAGATCCAGTAACAGTCATATCTAATTATTGATCCAGTCTTACTACGACAGAAGGAAACATAACTAAATTAACTTTATTTATACTGGGTAGCTTTATCAGTTCTAAACTGGTCTCCCTACAAGTTCAGCAAGGGTTATCCTTTAAGACAAGCTCTATCAGTTCTAGATTGTTCTCCTTAAAGATACAATAGGGCCACCTATATTGATCCAAAGCTAAACCATTTTGAAATAGATGATAAACATTAGATAACCATCCAGTGTCTTGACAGGTCAGTGGTTCAAAGTCTTCTCGAGGTCAATGACATTGTTCTAAGTCACATTGTAAACAACGCTAATGCTTTAAGCAGACTGACTTTGTTTTTCTCGCGATGGACGTGACATAAAATATGTTTTGAAAAAACAAAAAGAAATACAATTTAATTTGTTATGTTGTTGAAAGATTTAGAGGACAATAAGAAGAGTTCTTTGACTTTGTGATTGCCTTTTCTCAGTGTGGTTATGAAAACAGTCGATTCTGTTTCTATGCAGACGATATGCATGAAGTATGCATATTTAACATATACGCAATGTATTCAAACATACCAGGAACCACAAACCATTTCCCCGGAAAAATACAATGAACTATAACTTAACCATATTATATTGTAGCTGTTTTTATGCGCAAATATTCACTCGCAATCTTTTTAGCAGATAAATGTACAGCATATTGAATTCTGTTTTTTTAAATGACAACTTGATTTTTGCATGCGTTATATTGTAGACGACGAAACCGACTTAGACAATATTTAGTTCCATCCTAGTTTACAAAGTTTTAAATCAAGAGTGCTTTATCCGATATAAAACACGAGAGCGCAGTTCGAGTGTTTTATATCTGATAAAGCACGGAGCCACGGACTGCGAGTAATTTTAAAATAAACGTTGTCCGAAAAAATCAAAGCTAAAGTTTATGTATTAAATGAACATGATTTTGTTTAATATCACATATAAAACCACCAACACGGCAGCGATTTCCTTTGACTTTTCCTCATGAATTATTAATGTTTTTTAGTAAGCTTTGTCTTTGATAAACTAGTCTCGCATATGTAACTAATTAATATTGAATAGCTATCTTTCGCCTGTATTCTAAGAGGCTAAAAGCTCACTCACACTCAATGAGTGGTGGTTCAATCTGAGCTTCTCTTGAATGTCAATGCTGTTTTTGAATAGCTGGAGGGTGAGTAGTCACATAGTAAGGTACGACACTAACCCTGCAGCTATTCAAAAACAGCATTGACACTGAGAGAAGTTTCAGATTGAACTTCCACTCATTGAGTGTGAGTGAGCTTTTTGAATACGGGCGTTTGTATACCAGCGAATCATTCTTTATAATTCGTTCGCAAGTATAAATTTGACGAGTGATATTCTTAGCAAAACCAAAAGTCACTACAATAATAATAAGTCATGTTATGACTCGTGTCTTGAAGCGCAAAATAGCACTTGAACTTGTTTTGTAAAGTAATAATGTTTTTCCTGATAAAATATGTCAAGGCTCAAGCACTTTTTTTATTTAAGAGCAAGATTAAAGTTCTATTGTGTCCTTGTTTATATATATATACTGAGCGTAGATCTTTTTATCGGGATGCCTTATCCGTCTGATGGATTGTTTCGTTGATCGATGCATCCATCATTCTTCTGAGTAGAACGGTGACGAAGCCAGAATTTCTAGGGGGGGGGGGAGGGCGAAGCAACTTTACCCTGAGCTAGTTCGAATAAAGTTTGACGTTTATTATGTGAAAATGCATTTGCTGATTTGGACTCCCAGGCTCCGCTATCCATGCATAATATAGGCTATAGCACAGCGAGTGATTCGGGAATCTGTTCCCTCGACAAAAAATCGGTAGAATGTCATTTCAGCATTTTGGTGGCTATTTTATCGTGTTTTGGTTATTTACTGTAAATAATCATTTAACATATAACATATAACAACTATATTTTATCACAAACCAATCTAAAACATTTAAAACATAGCAAGATATAAAATTCACATCATCCAGGAAATGAAAATATAATCCACATGCTTTGCACTACCAAGGGGGTGGGGGTGGGGGTGGGTGGGGGCACAATTTCGATCTATGTGATCTAAAATTAAACTTAAGCCTCGCTGGATGAGAGTTAACGAGAGTTCACGCATTGTTATGGGGGACATTTCAAACTCTAGATCAACAAAATAAAAGTTTGGTGAGTGTTCCAATTACTATGTTTTACATGATACACATACATACATACGCATATACATGCATAAAATTTTATTTCAACACGCTTGCCCGGACAATAAAATGCTGATTTCCATGGGGGGCGTGCAACAGATTTCAAGAAAGCTCATAAAACAATACATGTAACTGGTCTATTTTGGCATCAATAGTTAACTTATTCCAAAGAAATACGCCATTATATGAAAAGCCCTCTTTCCTAAATTCTGTCTTTGGCCTTGCTAACACTGAATCTGTGTCATTAGGGACTGGTCATAAAGTAACTGCTACGGTGGGCTGGAGGTAAATCACAAATTTTGCCAATAAGTTCGGTGACCCATCTTAGGATGTAGATAAAAATTTCAAAGCCCATCTAATCTTACAAAAAAAGTTTCATGACCCACCCAATCTAAATTGGGAAAATACACTTTTAAACTTGCAGGTATGAACATTGTAAATATACACGGCACTGTATTGACATACATAATTCCACCAAGCTTGACATACTGAGCTGCTCTCCAGTTGGTTGTATTTGCTGTGACTCGACCACTTCTTGTTGTTGTATAAACAAAGTATTAGCTTCAATAGCGTCATTTGCATTTGATAATTTGGATATAGTCTTCTTTACTTTTGTTATTAATATCTTTATTTTTTGAAGTAGACATGCACGGGTTTTTGTTTGGTAGCCCAACCGTGGACATACAAAAAAATTGGCGGCCCATCGAAACTGCCCAAAGATTTTCCATGGCCTATCCCAAATCACTCCAGCCCACCCTAGCAGTTACTTTATGACCGGTCCCTTATTTCGTAAATTGTATGAAATAGGACAATTACTAATATTTAGAAACAAATTATTCAAAGTGTTGATGATTCATATAGTTTTGGGAAAGCATTAAAGTCAAGCGCACACGAGAGCTATCTGCTGAGCAAAAATTTACTAGTGACTATTGGCGCAAGTTCCTCCAGCGTGCGGCGACGTTTTAAGAGTTTTGTTCACGCCTGCCATGGTTACCGAATATTCAACAGTGAATAATTTTGTACACAAGTGGATGTATTCCCCACATATCCACCTTTCAATGTAGATCGAATAGTCATGCGTATTAAAACATAAGACAAAAGGAAAATAATTAATGAGGAATATTCATATGTTGCTACTCAAGTATTACATTCGTCATTTAATTATTTTACTTTCATGTTTCGCTCGCTACTCTGGTTTAAATAAATGATTACAAAGCCCAGTCGAATTGTAATCAAGACCCAACGTTTCGACTGGAGTGTCGATTCATATACCTGGTTGCAGTGAACGAACAAACTTTAAATATTTTACTTTTGTTTTATTACACATGCCTATTCGATCTACAATGAAAGGTGATACCTTTTCGAGCGCGTAGACATGGAGAAAATGTTCATTCGGGACTGAAATTATTCAACATGTTGAATATTCGGTGCCGATGGCACGCGTAGACTTGCTCCAAGTCTCTCTTTCATTGTCATATAGTATCGATCCACTATAGTGTACATTACACTACGCTACGTCATGTAATGTACACTATAGTGGATCGACATGACAATTGAAAGAGAGACTGGGAGCAAGTCTAAAGCTACGTTTACACGCTGCGATTTGTCGGGCCGATTTTGGTAAATAATCGATGCCCCTTCTTCAACATTTAGCGATTTAAACGTTCAATTGAAGCTGTCCGCTCTCTCGTCTGTTCATGTTATAGTTTTCTGCGTGCGAAAAGTTTTCAACAATTTTACAACGGAAGAAAAATCGTTGAATCGTGAGAAAATCTGTGGTTTTGTTACAGATTTTTCTCCCGATTTTGTGAATCGCAAGGTGCTGACGCGAGTACTCACGACAGGTTATTTACATACAGCGAGCAAAATCGGCCCGACAAATCGCAGCGTGTAAACGTACCTTAATGGCAAGCGTGGCTGAAATCGCTCAAAACGCCACCGCACACTAGGGCAACTTGCTTACGCGGCTCGAATACTGTAGATAGTTTGTGATCACATGTTGTTGCCTATAATATTTAAAACCTTTCATGTTTTTTTCAATAAACCTACGAATTTTATTTGGCTAGCAATTTCACGTTTCTCGCAAATAAAGTTGTAGTACTTTCATATTTGAAACTTGAAAGAGAATTTTGACTTGGGAAATAGGTAGATAGATAGATAGAAACTTTTATTTAAACACGCTAACCATTGTCAACCTAGGCTGATTTCCACAAGGGGCGTGTACAATAATAAAATTACAAAGATATAGTATATAGTAAGATATTACATACAGTAAGATATATATATATATATATATATATAAGTATAAGAATAAGAATAATAATGCTATTCAAAAATGTGAGTATTCAAAAATGTGAGTAGCGATTTTAGTTTCAAAGGACATGATGGAGTTGCACTCTCTAATTTCGGTTGGTAAAGAATTCCAAATGTGTGCCCCGTCAAACGTGAAACTTTTTTTCAAGCTATTTGTACGCGGCTGTGGTAAGCAAAGAGTACTTTCCACATCTCGAAGTTTATAATTTGTCATTTCACTTTTGAAAGTAAATAAATCAGTAAGTGATTTAGGACCCATTTTATTCAACAATTTAAACATCAGTTTGGACTTAGCCTTTATTCTTTCCGTTTTAAGTGGCTTCCAGTCTAAAGCGTCTAAAGCAACCAGATGATCTACATCATTGCTCATATTCATTATGATTCGAGCAGCTCTGTTTTGGAGCTTTTGGAGGCGTTTTGATTGTGTTTCACCAAACACATCACATACTTCACAGCAATATTATTACCAGTATATATATTTGTTGAATGTAGTGAAGTGATGTCATGACCTTTGATCATGTGATTCGTATTTCCAAGTATTTGTTGCATGATCGATCAAGTTTTGTTATTGCAAAATACCAAAATCAAACCATATCACTATAGGCATAGCGAACGCGGAAGTGTTTCAAAACCTCGTCTGTTTCTTGGTTTCGACATATTTGCTTCACAATGTAAGATAAACTTTACGAACAAAAATCAATTGGTAGATCTATTTCCACAAATGGAAAGCAGAGCGTCAGCGAAGTTTTGTCAGCTGTAGCCTGTAAATATTATGGCTTGTTGCCCGACAGAAAAGGGATATGGCTACGAACATAGCAGGTTTGAGAAAGACGTCGACGAAAATTTTCATTGCTCCATCTGTTACAATGTTCTTAAAGAACCAAGGATGTGTAGAAATAATGGCCACGTCTATTGTCTTGCCTGCATCAGTGAACATCTGAAAGTAAATTCGCAAACTTGCCCCGAATGCAATGAACATTTGAGCGTCGATACGCTTCGTCGGCCGCGTGTGGTGAATAATTATTTGTCTAAGCTGAAGATTAATTGTGATTATGCCAGTCGAGGATGTCCTGAGTTTACCTGTGTTGAAGGTCTCGAAACTCATGTTGCCAATTGTGGCTTTGCTCCTGTGTTGTGTTCAAATGCAGAGTGTCGTATGGAGATTAATAAACGGGACAAGGTTTATCACGAGACTGAAGTTTGTGAATATAGGAAAGTGAAATGTCATGATTGTGGACAGATACAGGAGGATATGGGGACATTAAGAGGAACCTTGTTAGATCTGGATGGGAAAGTGGAAGCTGTCAGGGAGGAAACGAAAGACAGTAGGGCTGAAGTTAAGAAAGAAATAAAAGATGTGAAAGAAAATCTTTCCAAAGTGAACAAAGACGTGGACGAAGTCAAAGTCATGATGAGTCAAATGTTAGAGAAGTTTAATATGCTTGAACTGCTCAGCAAACTGCCATCTACGACCGAAGGAATGTTTAATACACCTAGGGAAGATATTTTGATTGCTGGTGGCTGGGGTGTGAAAGGTAGTGCAGAAATATTTTCCTGGGAGAAAAATGGTTGGTATGAGATTTCGGATATGAATAATGAACATGCGGGAGCTTCATCATTTATTTATAATGATCAACTATTTGTTGTTGGGGGACTGCATACTAAGACAATAGAGACCTTGGATCTCAATGAATTACCTTTGACATGGATGGAATTTTCAGACGAACTTATTTCGACGTTTGATCATCAAACTTTTGTTTACCAACAGCGTGTTATTCACATTGGTGGATATAATAATGACAAGCATAAAAAGTCTAACGTGATTAGTGAATTGCAACTTACCTCACCTTGCACAATGAAAGAGTTGTGCCAAATGCCCCAGCCACGAAGTTGTCATGGCGCTGAGGCGTTTGAAGATAAAGTCTTGATCTTGGGAGGAGCAGATGATAATGATGATGTTTTAGACAGTGTGTTGGCGTTTGATCCAAAGAAGAATGAATGTAAGGAGCTGCCATCATTACCACATCCCCTGACAGAAATGGCAACAGTTCGCTGGAGAGATCAAGTAGTTGTACTTGGAGGTTGTGTTAGGGATGATGAAGCTCAGAATGATGTTTTCATGTATGACTGCAAGACAGGCAAGATCACAGCCTTACCATCCATGTTGGAGAACAGATGTCATTGTTGTGCAGTTATTACTGGAAATACAATTGTAGTCATGGGAGGTGAGAATGATGACTTTCTCTGTTCAGTGGAGTGTTTTACAATGGGAGGTTCTACATGGAAGTATCTTCCCAGCATGAGTGGAGAAAGATCCCAAGCAGTTGCTGAAGTTCTACCCTCGACAAGGAAATGTGTGTATGTTTGATATTTAACGCTGTGCGCAAATTTAAATTAGATTGTTTTGTTCAGAGGTAATTTATACGCATTTCTCTACCTAAGCTGGGATTTCTGACTGAGGGTAAAGTAAGACGAATAACAAAGTTTCTCCAATAAACAGCATATAGATATTTGTCTATCACCTCGCAGTGATAAACAAATTTGATTCGATGAAACAATGATACAATTTCGGAATGACGCTCATTGGCTACTATAGCTCCAAAAGTATACGACTTTATAACAATGTCGGCGAATTCTAGCTACAGGCTCCGAGGGGTATAAATCTTGTATATCCCTCAGGCCTTTGGAATAAGTGTTAATATGTGTGGCTAAGCACATTTTACTTTTTGATACTGAATTACTTTAGCACCAGTGTGTTTCAAGAAAAGTAGACTGCATTTAATCAATCAATAGCTTAACATATGTATGTCTTTCATGGAAAATAAAGTACAATTTTTAATCATATAATCTCAGGTTTATACAGAAATTGTTAGAATAATTAGTGCTGATTTTAGAAGTTAATGTTGCCGTATTTTAAAAGGGGGAGGGGGCATTAAGCAGCGCTTCCATTTTGAAGGAACTTTCCTTTTTGAAGGAAATTTTAACTAGTTGAAGGAAATTGTAAGGAAATTCGAATCTGAAGGAAATTTGAAGGACATTTCGGAAGATTGAAGGAAATGTGAAGGAATTTGCCTTATTTCTAAAAAGTCCTAAGAATAAGGCAATTTCCAAGGAAATGCGCTTCAAAGTATGCCGAAAATCCTGTCGCGTGAGATGCAAAATCTGAATATTTTCTGGGGGAGAACCCTCAGACCCCCTGGCTATTCTCCTTCGTGTCATTCCTGTTAATCTAGGTAAACTCTTTGTCTCTCCCCTTTGATAACTCAACCCCTGCAACGTCTATGTTCCTTCTAGAACAGGAAATACTCCGTTATTCGAGATAAATTACTATAAAATCAGTTTTAAATTAGGTAAAATTCAATAATTTTATTGCAAGGAAATTTTGTCAAAAACAAAGGAAATTTTGTCAAAAATAAGGAAATTTTGTCAAAAATAAGGAAATTTTGAACAGTTGGAAGGAAATTATGTTTTTTGAAAGTGGAAGCACTGCTTACGCCAACAGTCTCAAATTACAGGCGCTCCTTGCGTTATCAACAATATAGTATTGTAATTGTTAACCGTTATTAGCAATAAGTTATTGGGTTGTTAACCCTAACCCCAACCCCCCTAACCACTAACCCCTAACCCTAACCCCGGAACAGGGCTGCCGGGATTTGTCAACCCACCGCCCCGCCACCTCCTTCCCGAAACACTTAAACTTATAACTAGAAATTTTGTGCAATGCTTGCGGTTTTCTTTCCAGTAACAACCCAATAACTTATTGGGTTGTTAAGCTTAACAATTACAATAAGGCTGCATTCCAGTTACGCGTTGTTCATACGTGCGTACACGCACGTAAAAGTTGAATTCGCTTAAAATTTCATATAAGTGCAAATAACCTTAACAAATACACATTAACCAGATGATCTCGTGTTCGTATTTTAGCCAATCAGCGCTCAGAAAGGGTTGCCCGAATAGAAATCCATTTTGATGTATTCAGTCAATTATATCTTTCGTTATTCTTTATGAAACTAGTTGAAATTTGGTAATTATGTTTGGTTATGAGAACTATAGCTCTGACAAAAATATAGAGTCGAAATAAAGTATATTACAGGAGATATTCAGTTGTTTTAATCATAAAATGGATTTCTATTTGACAACTAGTGCCAGTACTTTTCCGCGTATCAAGATCATCTGGAAATCATGCGCAAAACTGAATGCTGTCCTTTTATAAATTTAGTTATTTCATAAGTAGGATGTAAAGCGAATTATGAAAAGCGCGTAACTGGAATGCAGCCTTAATGCTTAGCTCAGCTGATAGCTCCAGCGTGCGCTACCGCGTGACTGCTAACTCTCATGCACAGCTCTCATCCTCGTTTCATCCACGCTTCACAAATAGATGAATCACGCGTCAAGTGAAGTGAAACTGTGAAACTAATTTGAAACCGGATCGCAGAGAAGAAAACTACATCAACAACAGGCACAGTACACATTACCAAACATCTATTCCTGCTGTTAAAACGGAATTCTATTTTGTGCGCGCTGTATGTTGAATTGTTCTTTGTTTATCGCAATATTTTTTAATTGTAAATTTCCTGGAATCCAGCGGGGAGCACGTTTTTTAAGAAATTCCGGTTATTGACATTGTTGAATCGAAAACAATGCGTGACATATGCGCACGGTCGGAACAATTAAATTGCATTAACATGGGTATACTGATGGATTTTTTTAAAGCCTGGTTTCCATATGATCGTAATAGTCGTAAAAATAGAGTCACGATCTTTCTCCGCGGCCAGTTTATAATAGTTTATACCTGTAAACCACATGTATATAAATCTTAAACTCATTAAGAGGCAAGTTTTTCCAATGTCACATATTTGCAATGAAAAATGTACAAAACCTAAAATCTTTTTGGCGTTCATCTCAAAATTACTTTGTTTTAGCTTTATTCTCTAGTTTATAGAGTTAGCAACCTTTTTAAATGCATCTGCCAGTTGAGAAACATAAAATAATAGTTAAAAATTGTCAATTAAAGTACAAATATCAATGATGCTTTAAAATTGACGCCATATTTATAGCCATATAAGCAAAACTTACTGAACTTCAGGCGTCATTTTCTCTTTGGCGTATCATCTAAAATATCTTCTTTTAGCATTATTTTACAGATAAAGCACTAAACATACTTTTTAAGTCTGTTTGCCGATTGAGAAACGTATCGAAAAATAAAAATTTTGAATTTAGTCATAACCTCAAGCGATATATTATACGCTTTAGTTTTGAGCGCCGTGTTACGTAACGTACAAAAAAAAACTCCTGTTAATAATTAATGAGTAAATTAGCCAACCATATTGTTTTATTTCATTTACACATCATAATACTGGATACCTGGTGAAGTGATTTATTCGTATGAGATGTAATTTCAAATCCTCCAATTCGGACTGGATTACATTTCGAGTCCTTGCATTTTAATCCAGTTCTCGGCTTCGTCTCGGGCTTGATCAAATTGAGCGGACTTGAAATCTAGTCCAGTCCTCATAGTCGGATTTGAAATATTACATCATAAGTATTCTCTAGTTATAATCACTGCGCGTATTTTCAGTTATAAAATGATGTATTTCGGCTGATGAGAAAGATCGTGACTCAATTTTTGCGATCGTTGCGATCATATGGAACCATAGTTAATAGAGGAGATGGTTTTGGAAATTCATTAGCATTACAATAAACCTCACTATCTATGTTTTTGTTCAGGTTTATGCAAAAATGTGGTCTTTCATCGTCACGTGCGTATTGTATTTTTGCTCAACCAGCCAATAGAAACGGTTTTGTCCAATTGCCCATCCATGACTTTAACAATAGGACATTTTGAACATTCCTATTGGTTGACTTGAGAAAAATACAATACGCACGTGACGATGAAAGACCACATTTTTGCATAAACCTGAACAACATAGATAATGAGGTTTATTGTGATTTTATTGTAATGCTAACGAGTTTCCAAACCATCTCCTCTATTAACTATGATGGAACCCAGGCTTTAATAGTGTTTAGACTATTATATTTTTAACAATACAATAAGTGATAATAAGGAGTCTACGCAATGATTAGATTATAGCACATGCTTAGAATATGACACAAAAGAACATTGATACTTCCTGTTCATCTAGACTACTTTCATTGACACATTCGCCGAAGGGCTATCTTTAAAAGGGGGAACGGGGAATCGGGGAATGGGAATCGGGGAATGGGGGAACGGGGAATCGGGGAACGGGGAATCGGGGAATATCATATCCCCCCTTTTAAAGATCTTTAAAAGGGGGAATATTCCAATATTCTTTAAAAGGGGGAATATTCCATATTCCCCCTTTTAAAGATCTTTAAAAGGGGGAATATGATATTCCCCGATTCCCCGATTCCCCGTTCCCCCATTCCCCGATTCCCATTCCCCGATTCCCCGTTCCCCCTTTTAAAGATAGCCTTCGCCGAAGCCATGGGTACGAGACTGCATGTGTCCTAACCACTGGACTGGATAAAGCCTCCTATTGAGTATTGGCTATTGAATTCAGTAATCCGATTTTGAAGCCAGAATATTTTAATGAGATGAGATTTATAAATCAGGCAAATTCATGACCAGTCTACTAATCGTTTGCTGTTTAAGTTCAGTTAGACTAAAAACCAATTATCGTTGCCTATGTTACTTGTGAAATATAGCTTCCAAAACCTTCAATCTGAGCTTCTCTTGAATGTCAATGCTGTTTTTGAATAGCTGGAGGGTGAGTAGTCACATAGTAAGGTACGACACTAACCCTGCAGCTATTCAAAAACAGCATTGACACTCGAGAGAAGCTCAGATTGAACTTCCACTCATTGAGCATGAGTGAGCTTTTTGAATACGGGCGTTTGTATACCTGCGAATCATTCTGTATAATTCGTTCGCAAGTTTGAATTTGACAAGTGATATTCTTAGCAAAACCAAAAGTCACTACAATAATAATAAGTCATGTTATGACTCGTGTCTTGAAGCGCAAAATAGCACTTGAACTTGTTTTGTAAAGTAATAATGTTTTTCCTGATAAAATATGTCAAGGCTCAAGCACTTTTTTTATTTAAGAGCAAGATTAAAGTTCTATTGTGTCCTTGTTTATATATATATACTGAGCGTAGATCTTTTAACGGGATGCCTTATCCGTCTGATGGATTGTTTCGTTGATCGATGCATCCATCATTCTTCTGAGTAGAACGGTGACGAAGCCGGAATTTCTATAGGGGGAGGGGGGGGGGGGCGAAGCAACTTTACCCTGAGCTAGTTCGAATAAAGTTTGACGTTTATTATGTGAAAATGCATTTGGGCTCCCAGGCTCCGCTATCCATGCATAATATAGGCTATAGCACAGTGAGTGATTCGGGAATCTGTTCCCTCGAGAAAAAATCGGTAGAATGTCATTTCAGCATTTTGGTGGCTATTTTATCGCGTTTTGGTTATTTAGTATAAATAATCATTTAACATATAACATATAACAACTATATTTTATCACAAACCAATCTAAAACATTTAAAACATAGCAAGATATAAAATTCACATCATCCAGGAAATGAAAATATAATCCACATGCTTTGCACTACCAAGGGGGTGGGG